TCTCTCTCTCTCTCTCTCTCTCTCTCTCTCGAAAGAGAAATCTAATTAATAAATGCTATTTTCATGTTTTTGGTGAAATAGTTATATTTTATGCATAAATCATATTTGAAAATAACAAAGAATTGCATTAATTTTTGAAAACATAGTTTTTAATCCCATTTATTATCAATTTTGATGTGCATTCGCTCTAAACATAAACACGAAATGCTTGTTAAAAATGTAGACATCGATCGATAGTTTGCATAACATTTAGTTTTTGTATTTTGAAGTTTACGTCAATAAAACAAAATGATCATTAATTTTGGGCCAAAAACAGCCCTCAATTAAGTCTTCATTTTAATAGTTAATAAAGAGTCGATTAATGCGATTAAATATATTTAAAATGATTTATCTATTTGTCTGATGTATTCATATAATGAATAATTTATTTATTCTTAGAATTTAATCAATGCATTGATAGATAAATATATGTTTAATGTTATACTCTATACTAATATTTCGAGCATTTTTATTGAATTTTGATATCATTATTAATACTTTATTAAAAATATTTATATTTAATACATGAATGTAAAATGTTTATAAAATATTTCATATCTTAAGATCATTACAAACTAAAAATTTTCAGAATTGAATTACAATAGACTTGTAATATGAAGCATAAGATGAGTCAGGAATCGATATTTTGCTATTTATAAAATAAAAATTCAAAGAGAGTTATAATTTAATAGTACAAAAATAAAATACAAACAAAATTGTAGACCAGAATATTCTATACACAATAATTTTAAATTTAGTATTTAATATGCTTTGTATGAATGCTCTTAAAGTGCACAATAAATAATAGTTTAATACGAATACTAATGCTTTTTTGCCGTAAAGAATAGATTATTCTTCAACACACATACAGAACATTCTTTAAATGTAATTCTCTTTTGTATTATTCATACAATAGTTATCCGTCGGAATCGCGATCTCGTATTTCATCCATCGGTAGTGTTAAGAGATGTCGTGGATCTGAACGCAAGGATAAGCAGCCGTTTGGCAGCTCTGAGAGCATCGGTATAATTATGATTGCAATTTATATTTGACATTATTTTCATTATAAGTATAACATTTTTAATCACTTTATATCTCGTTATGAACAGGAAATTCGTTGAATGGCAGGACTAGGACTACATCCAGCAGTTCGTACACGAGTAGCACAACCGGTGGCCACTTAGCGGGTGGCAGTGGTTCCGGTCGCGACATTGGACCGCAAGAGTTGTGTTTTCTGAAGACACTGAAAGACCATAAGATACGGGACGAGAGGATAGTGTTTGTTTCGGGCAAACGAGCGCCGATCGCCATATTCTCGGCCCTTCCGCACACTCGGCGCGCACTTCACAGCGTCTTAAGGTGTGTCTCCAGTGGATGATTGACCGCAGGTTTAGTGAATGTCAGATAATATGACAGTCACTGACAGCGACAACAACATAATCCCATTGTTTTAACGCATATCTCATTGATATTCACAGAAGCGATACGTCAAAGGAGTTGACCCGAAGGCGTCAGGTGTCGGGCAGTCGCCAGTTGTCGACGATTAGCGATGGCTTTGATCCGTTGGATTTGTTGACACTTATGGGCTTTGAACGGTCCGGTAGTGACGGACAGGACATATCGTTTGGCGAGCTATTGAACAGCAGCTCTTCGGCCAATAATAGTG